AAGCTTCAATCTCAGTTGGGACTTTTGGTCGTTCCCCTTTCATCACAACTTCATCTTTGCTGGGTCACCATTATTCCCTCTTGGTTAACCACATGACCCAAGAATTGAACTTCTCGAATCCAAAAATCACATTTGGAGAACTTTTGACCGTATGGGGTGACTTTTACTGTTGACTTTTGACCTGGTTGACTTTTGGATAAATGACTAGTTTGGAGGATAGACTAAGGACTAATCTTGAATATTTTGATAGGTGGTTTGTAGCATCGGTTCCTTGATTAGTTCGAGCTGTGGTTGATCCTATTCGAGTGTGAGGTGAGTCTTCTTACTATATTATGTAGGATGCTAGCTGTCTTGTGACTTTTGCATGTTGTTAGGGCGAGGTCCGATGTTATGTATGGTATGTGGTATTTTAGAGAACTCAGTAAGCTTTGTGCTTACAGTTTTGGCGTTTAAATGTTTTAGGTACTTCTTGTTCGAAAGGGAAGGGTCCGACTTGATCGCACTACATCCCCCGAAGTTTATTTCCACATTATCATTTTATGACTCACTTTGATATTTGAGAATACATTACACTTTGATTGTCTTTTGAACAATTGAATGTATGTTTTGGGTTGTTTTAAAAATGAAATTTTTACTTGAGATTTCGGGGACGTTAGAAAATGTATTTAGGCTATGGGGTATACACACGCCACACAATGCGACAGCGTCGTCATCTACACTACATTAGAAGAGAAGGGAGAAAGAAAGAAGAAATATTATAACATTGTGTGGCTTAAACTACACCGCTCCAAGCCAACAAGCCACCACATTTGTACTACACCTTTACATGCCAATGAAGGGTGGTGTACATGGCGTGAGAAGCGTCCACATCATCACCATGCCCTTGGCGTTGGATGTATACCGAGTAACCTTATAGAATATAAAAATGTTTATAAAATGACAATGATATGGACCTCTAAATAAGGTCCAACATTGGAGATGTTAATGACCAAAACACTTGGGGGCACTCGATTTGCATAATGTTTCGAAGGAATGAAATTTCTTAAAGTAATTGGAATATGAAGAAATTGAAATATAAATGAATTGGAATTAGTTTTGTTTGCAGATTTGTCAATGGAATTGAAAAGTAAATTATATAATACGACCAAAATATTCTTTTAATATTTTTTTATAACTTATTATTGTTATTAATAAATGTGATAAAACTTTCATTTAATTAAAATGTCGATTTATCAAAATTTTACCCACTCAAACTTATTGTTTTTTTTATTATTTAATTTGCTAGTAACATATATGGTAAAAGATAACTTCAATATATATATAGATATCTAATATATATATATAGATATATATATATATATTATATATATAAAATTGCACTCGATAAAACACAGTTAATACATATCTTGCTTTTAGGATCGGTCTAAAGTCACTTAGTCAATAGTTGGGTGCAGATTTAGAGATTTAAAGTAAGAAAAAAAACTTATTTGTGTGCGTGAGTGTGTGGGCGTAGGCGTGAGAATGTGTGTGTGTAGATGTGGGTATGGTTATGAGTGTGTGGTTAACGTATGTATGGTTGTGGGTATTGGGGTGTGATGGGAGGGTAAGGGTAGGTTGGTAGGCGGGGTAGGGGTAGGTGTGGGGTGGGTGAGTGGTATGGGTAGGTGGGTGTGAGGTGGATTGGGTGCGTGCGGGTGTTGGTGTGAAGGTAGGGATATGTATGGTAGGACTAAGCATGAGTCGGTTTGAGTTTAGTTTTACCTCCACTTTGTTAAAAAAAGTATAATTTTGATTAAAATAAGTTTTGATGAATAAAACTGATAAATAGTATTAAGTGTGTATATAATCGGGGGTCGAACCGATTGAACCGGTCAATTCCTATTTCGGTTTCGGTTTCAATTTTGTCGGGTTTTCAGTTTCCGTGTTGAATTTTTGCTCACCCCCAAAACGAGGGTCGAATTGAGAACCGGGTTGATTGAACCCTGTCTGATCCGTTCAACTAAAATCGAACTTTTAAAACACTGGGTAATATCACTCTACTTAGATCATCTCCAACTCACTTCCATCCCCCCCCCCCCCCCCGTTTGATCCGTTCAAATAATGTTTTATCTCCAACCCTACTCAATTTTTTACCCTATTTTTACCCCCAAAAAATATATCCCTAGTATATTCTATTTTTTCAACTTATATAGATTGTCAAACACATCCTTCTACTAATTTGATTTTAATAAATATATTATCTATATTTTTTTCATTACAATAATATTAAATAAACAATTCATATTTATAACACTTAAAGTTTTTGTAAAATACGTTATCGTGTTTTAAAATTTCAATATGTATTTAATATTTATATAAATTTGATAAACAAAAAACAAACTTTATATTTATAATTAGTTAATATAATTTAATATATAACAAAATATTATAAATATTAAATATTACATTTAAATTATAACAGTAGATAAAAGTAAACTAAAAATATATAAATATATAAAAATAAAAACTAAAACAGAAAACTATGATTTTATTCTATTCATTTTTTTCAAAATGAATGAATAAACGAAGGAAGATCAGAGAAGAATTAGGAAAAAAATGAAGGAAATAATAGAAAATAAATAAGAGTGGATTAGAGATACTCTTGACATAGTCACATGACCAATAGTGTACAGCAATAACATGGGGTGGAGATTTGCAGGACCAGCGTTGGTTTCCGGTTGGAGGTGGCCGGCAAGGTGCGGTGGTGGGTTGGGTTGTGAAATATAATACTGTCAGTTGTATTTAAAAGTCAAACTTATTAACCCATAAACTATATTCGCTTCATGATGGTTGTCAGGCTAGCCATATCGGCGATCATGGCGGTTCAAAGGACGGAATCTTTTACAGCTACATTTTCAAAAGTCAAAACCCAGTTAACAATAATTCAAGTTTTAAACATCCCCTGTGTCATATGACAAAAACCGAACACTTTCTATGCATTCTGAAAAAGATGATCTGATTGCATCAAATAAAATTGAAAACGTCGAACAATGCTTCCCTGCCAAACGATCACTCGCACGAAATCATCACGAATACCTAGTTCAAAATTGACATCTGAAATAACGAAAAGAAAGAAGATCAGAGCGCAGATGGAATCGCATCTATCGAAGTCATTTAAAACTTGGAATAACTTCATTCAAGCAACGATAAAGGTTTGTGATTCATATGTAACTTTATTTACCGACAAAAGGTAATCCCACTTCTAAAATCCCGGGGTAACAATTTTTCAACAATAAAATAGTTGTATATAAGAGGAGGTGTTTTCTAGGTTTTGTTCTTGAAGGACTTAATGATTATCGGATAAACATGGTTTTGATCAAGATTCGAGAGAGATTACTGAGAATACGAGACATACCATTAACTGGGTTATGGGCTTTGTTTCAAAAAAATGGTGGGTGTGCGATATTGCATTTGAAGTTTTCAGAGTCGCTGAACTTTGTCTAAAGAAAGTTGACGATTAATGGAACCAAGAAAAGACAGTTTGATCAATGTCATTATGGCGATGACAATGAAGATCTTGTGTTTGTGAAAATGCAAGGAAACAGAAGGGATGAGGGGAGAAGAAGAAGTTGAGATAAGCAGCTATCATTTGATCCGAAGCTCAATAAATGTATCCAAATAATAAATCTCTGATTAATGCGCATAAAAAAACCTGCACTTTCAATATTTGTTCGATATGTTAAGAGTTGTTAAAAGTCTTGAAGATTTCTAGTGACTTGTAAAATCATTAGTTGTAGAATACTGTTTTCCAAATTTCAAATTTTGTGGATTGGTCTCATGTTGTTCTACTTTCTTGATAGAGACATGATGTTAGTATATAAGTATGCATATCTAACGATAGCTACATATACTCTTTTGTTGGATGATTTATTATGTCTATCTTTCTTTGACATGAACAACTTAACAACTTAACAACTTGTAACTTTTATTATTAAAGATTAAAGATACATGTGGTGGAATCATAGGACTTACGGAGTCTTAAAGAAGTAATCATTAGTTTGAAGAGAGATAAAGTGGCTCTAGAATCTATTGGTGAGGAAGGCCCACAGGTGACTTTTATGCAATCACTAGTAGATTTCCACACCCTAAAGGCTAAAGGCTAAAGCTGCATATGAACCAATTCAGTTAACTGTTCCATTTCTATTTAGCTTTCTCATCACCCGGTTTGGCCCAAATTGGTTATGGTCATCATCATGTATTTATTAAAGGGAAGATTCATCATTCATATTCGATTTAAGAGAAGCACATTCACATGATTTAGAGGAAAATATTATATTTCAAAATGGTTTTTAGGCATACAAAAAAGGTACTTGTGTAAGATGCTACTAATGTATGCATGTTTAGCCAAAATTTCCCCAATAAGAGATGGCGTGTGATCGAAAGAAATATTTCATTACATTAAAAATAAAATAAGAATTTTTTTTTGGAAAATTGGGAAGGGATTTGGGTCATGAGTGAGACCCATCAAGATCTTTTAATGGGCTAATCTTGAGCTCCATTAATCCATAAATGTATTTATTAGCATTGATAAATTGTATTGTACTTTGTACAAATTTCATCACCAACTAGTGGGGAGAGTTGAAAGAAAGAGCATTTCATAGATCCACTTTGACATCATCTTTTTGTTTTCAAACATCTTGATTGTATCCTGACCATAGTGCTCTGAAATTCCACCATATCCTTTCAAAAAAAAAGTGGTCCGAAAAACCGACCCCCTCATGAGATAATCTAATCTATCTTGGGTCCCTTTGTCTCTTTGTTACACCAACTCTTAAACCCTTCAAAAAACCATCATTCTCATGCAAATTCATCCGCTTTTCATCTCCAATCACATCTCTCAACTTCCTTTTGTTCAATCAGAAGATACAAAGCATGATTAATTAACAAAAAAATTCTAGATTTTCACACAGTATACTCCTTATAAGGAATACAACACCGCATACTTTTTTAGCCACACAACAATGGAATCTTTCAAAGCTAAAACCTTTACTCCTATTCTTCTTGTTCTTGTTCTTGTTCTTCTTCCATGTGTTATCTGTTCATCATCTCAACAACACATCAAAGAAGACATGCTCAATGATCATCACCAAGTTGTTGAGTCAATCAGTCCTCGATTATCGTTACAGATAGTTATTCATGGGTTTCTCCTGTGGGCTTCCATGGGTTTCTTGATTCCTGTTGGAATCTTAGCCATCAGATTGTCAAACAGAGAGGAAAATGAAAGAAGGCTCAGAATCATGTTCAGTATACATGCTGTCACTCAGGCAAGTTTTGCTAATCATTTACATCTCATTAACATCCTTAATCACATCATAATTCCCACTTTTCCACTTCAATCAAAACTTTGTTTATCAAGTCGTAATCATTGCCTTGATTCACGGAATGAAAGATATTTGTATTAGTTTATTCTCTTTTTAGCTTTATAATTCTTGTATTTTAATAGTATTCATTGTTTTTCTCGATTACAGATACTATCAGTGATTCTTGTGACAGCTGGAGCTATATTATCAGTAAAAAATTTCAGCAACACATTCGACAACATGCATAGGAGAATCGGTGTAGCTCTTTATGGCCTTGTATTATTGCAAGCTCTCACAGGGCTTCTTCGTCCTGCAAGGTAAATATTCGTAGATATGATTATATTTATATTTGGTAGTTATATTTTCCCCTGTATAAATATACACATTGTGATTAATGAGATATATTTATACAATACAAGATATCCGGGGAAAATATAACTACCAAAAATAAATAGAATCATATCTACGAATTGTAAACACAAATTCTATAAAAAAAAAACGTAAAAGATTTCTTGAAATTGTGTGTGTTTTTTTTTTTTGAATTTTGAATTTTGACAATTGGATTTCATGTTACAGAGGGGGTAAGGGAAGAAGTTTATGGTTTTTTTCACATTGGGCACTTGGAACGACTATTTCCCTACTTGGAATCATGAGCGTATACACTGGGCTACATGCGTACCAAAAGAAAACATCAAGAAATATAAAACCCTGGGTTATGTTTTACACAGCTGAAATTGTGTGCATTGGATTCTTGTATTTGTTGCAAGAGAAATGGGAGTATATACAGAAGCAAGAAGTGATTCCAGGGAATGAATCAACGATAGTAGAACTGAGTGATAATCGGGAGACTTTGAGTAGTAGTCAAAATAAGGATTCATGTTAAGTTAGAAGTTAGAAGAAGAATTTTAATTGAAATTGTTCATATTCGGTCTGTTTTGATGAATTCAAGTGATTGTTTATGTAACCGGAATATTAAATTGCTATATTTTTGTGACACATTTAGTGGGAATCGAGTGTAGTTTAATAGGAAGAGATTATTGAATGTTGTCAGACCACAACTGCTATTGTGCCAAACAGAAGGAATTTTGAGCCGATTTTTTTTTAATTTTTTTATTATAGTTTTCCCCAAGTGTGTCACTTGTTTTTGTTGTACCCCATGATTTAATTGAAATGTATCGTAATGCAAATAAAAAAGGTTTGAATTTAATTGCATAGTGTTTGATATTTATTCTTTGTCATTTGCAGAGGCATTTCCTAGTTATGTTTTGAACGATTTTGTATTATTTGAACTCAACCAACAAATATATTCCAAAACTTGATTAAAAACATATAAACATTAACAAAATTTGATAAGAATGCTAGTCAAACTCTTATAAACTCAAATATTATTCATTGTACGTTTCTTGTTACGTATTTGTGAACAATACATAATATATTATAAATTTAACGAATACTTGTCTCATATATAGATATATCATAATCGCAAAGTCTTGTCTTGTCGGTTTGTTGGTCGACGGTTACCGACTCACGGGTCATGATTTGTCGATTTGTTGATTGATAATTACGAATGTCCCGGTTTATAAATATAAAAACTTTTTTATGTAATCTATGACAAAATAACGCTTTCATTTTTTTTTCAACAAAAGCATGTGTATCACACTTGCATAACATATTATATGAAAGCAAAACATGTTAAACACTTTGCATAATACATATACATACATCATGCATGTTTTATAAATTGTATAGTTTAATCTTAGTGTGTAGGTCCTACAACTCGATCACAACTTTTACATACACAATCAACATTACCTTTCTGAGCATCACAATTATGATTTCTAGCACTTTGAATTAATTGAGCTTCCTGAAAGCTTATAACAATCCTTTGTCGACATACTAGTCGATCAATTTATACTTATTAATTAAGAGTATTATTCAAATTCCCATGCTAATAAATCTTCAAATGTTGCTAAAATGCAAATATTAGGCTGCTGATATTTGATAAAATTTTTGTAGAAGTTTCGGTTTAAAACAGTAATTAACATAAGTTTCTAAAATTTCATAACTTAATATATGTTTTGCGTACTAGCTGAAAAGTTATATGTTAGCTGAAAAACTAACTGATAAAAAATTAATGTTTGCTAAAAATAGTTGTTAAACTAGCTTAAATATATAAAATGACATAAAAAGTATTTAAAAACATATATTTTATATAATTAACTAAGGGGTATATTTGGAAAGTTTTAAATAAGCTCCTGAAAAGCTAGTCTAAGTAGCTTTTAAGCTACTTTTTGGCTTGCCAAAGATAACTTAAAAAAACTCAAAAAATAATTTAACTTATCAGCTAGCCGTGGTGCGCCAAACATAACCTTAATCTTAAAATGTCAAACATACATGGTCAAATTAATTATAAGTTTTATAAGTATATAATCACATGGTTATTCTCTCCATGTCTATGAAACTACAAATTTGCTTGTGATCATAATATCCTCAATGGATAGGGTCCATAAAATGACTATTTATGAGGAAAAACTATTATAGAAGGCCAATCACTAAAATATAAAAAGAAGTAAGGTTCCATGATTAAAACAAAAAACTATTATAGAAGGCCTATCACTAAAATAGAAAAAGAGTTAGGGTTCAATGATACAATGACTATTTTTAAACAAATATCACAAAATGATCGTCTATCTTGCAAAAATGGATTTTTGAAAATGTTATTTTTTACAAAGATTTATGAATGATCTTTACTATAGGAAATTGTCATTTTCTTTTTGGAAAAATGACATTATCGAGCCGCAAGATGACAATGTCGTTTCTCAAAGAAAAGTGACAAAATGATAAACACAATTTCCCAACATGATCAGTTTGATTATATATCAAACCAGAACGTTTACATGTACAGATACAAAGAAAACCTCACTACAAAGTTCCTATTCTACTCTCAACAAGATTCACTCAGGTATAAAACAGATTATGAAAATAAAGAAGATGAAACCTCAAATAAGAACCCTAATCTGATGAACTATCGAGAGAATCCAGATAAAAATATCATCTAACAACTAAGAGAAAAATAATAATCATACATTATATACATTGGTAAAATATAACCCGGAAACCCAAGAATATTAACACTTAGCTCCCTTAACTTCAGCACATGAACACCTGCAACACAAACTATAACAAAACTTGAAATAATAGAAATGATTAGTTTGAATATACCTTTTATAATTTCAACACCCCCGGTCAAACTAATCATTTGACCTGTTGCTTCACAGAGAAAGGATCAACTAAACACATCTTACCACACAGAATATCATGCTGATAAGAACTGAGAGACTTAGTCAAAATATCAACAATTTGATTTACAGAACTTACTTTAACAAGACTAACAACACCATTAGCAATCTTTTCTCTAATAGAATGAACATCAATTTCAAAATGTTTTGTTTTATCATGAAAAATTGGGTTTAAAGCAAGTTTAACAGCAGAATCACTATCACAAAACATATTAACAGGAACCATATTTGAAAATTTTAAGTCAAACAAAATCTTTAACACCCAAATTATTTCACAAGTTAATGAGCCAAGAGCTCTATATTCTGACTCTGTGGAAGATCTGGAAACAGTAGATTGCTTTTTACTCCTCCAAGATATAAGAGAACTACCAAAATAAACCAAAAAACCACTTACTGATTTTCTTGAAAAGAGGCATTTAGCCCAATCAGCATCAGAAAAACCACTCAAAACAAGATTATCTGTTTTAAAGAAATAGACACCTTTTCCAGGACTGGATTTGAGATACCGTAAAAGTCTTAAAGCAATTCTCAAATGAGAGTTTCTAGGCTTGTGCATAAACTGAGACAAACTTGAACAGAATAACTAATATCAGGCCTAGTTATAGTAAGGTAAATTAGTTTTCCAAGCAGCTTTTGAAACTCAGTAATATTTTCAAGAAAACTATCACAGTTATCATCATGACCAACAACAATATTAGTTTCAAGAGGAGTAGAAACAGGCTTACAACCCAACATTCCAAAATCTTTTAATAACTCCATGCAATATTTCCTCTGAGACAGACAAAGACCATTTGAAACATCAATAACTTCTATGCCAAGAAAATATTTTAATTTCCCTAAATCTTTAATTAAAAACTGAGACTTAAGAAAATCCTTAACTTTTGCTATTTCAATCTCATCATTTCCTGTTAAAATTATGTCATCCACATAAACTAATAAAACAACAAGAGAACTACCCAAAGACTTAACAAACATAGAATAATCATTTATACTCTGAGTAAACCCAAAAATAGACAAAGCACTACACAGTTTTTCATTCCACTTACGTGGGGCCTGCTTTAAACCATAAAATGATTTCAACAATTTACAAACCCTAGTGCCATTTTTATTGTGATAACCAGGAGGTAAAGTCATATACACATCTTCCTCAAGTTCTCCATACAAAAACGCATTATTTATATCAAACTGATGTAATTTCCAATCTTTATTAACAGCAATAGTAATTATAATACGAATAGTAACAATTTTAGCAACCGGGGAAAATGTTTCCTCATAGTCGACACCTTCCCTTTGACTGTAACCTTTGGCAACCAAGCGTGCCTTGTACCTTTCAACTTCACCATTTGCCTTATACTTAATTTTGTAAATCCAACGACAACCAATTGGTTTTCTATCTTTCGGTAACTCAGTTATTTCCCAAGTCCTATTTCTGTAAAGTGCTTCCATTTCAAGATTCATGGCCTTAACCCACTCAGAATGATTGGAAGCTTCAAGATAGGACTGAGGCTCAACTGTTTTATTAAGATTAGTTACAAAACATCTAGTTTCATAAGACAAGTTAGAATAGTTAATGGTTTTTTCTATGCCATATTTATACTTTCCTTCAACTATATAATCATCAAACCTACTAGGGAGACGAGTTTCTCTTCTAGAACGAGTAAGACTTATTGAGGAACCAGAACCTTCTTGACCGCTTTCCTCAGCCAAATTAAGACAGTCAGGACCAGACCTATCAGATTCGGGCACAAGAGATTCTTCACGGTCAGTAGTATCTGTTTGAGTACCTGTTCTATTATGACCTGGAGAACCTCCTGCACCATCCATCTGATGACCCATTCTCTGATTATCTAAAATTGAGTCATCATTAGACAACTCAGACAATACAGGCTCATCATAGGAAAAAGGATCCACAGAGCATGTCTTATCATGGGTGTTATTAAAAACAGAAATTTGCATTTTAAATGGAAACACAGATTCATAAAATTTGACATCCCTGGAAACAAAAAAAGAATGTGAATCAAGACTCAGAAGCTTATAACCCTTTTTATCTAAAGAATATCCCAAGAAAATACAATTTTCAGCCCTAGAAGAAAACTTATCAGAATTATTAAGTTTTGTGGAAAAACATAAACAACCAAAAACACGAAGATTATCAAAACTTGGAGCTTTATTATAAACCAACTCATATGAAGTAAGACCTTGTAAAACAGAAGACGGAGTTCAATTTATTAAAAAAACTGCAGTCAAAATAGCATCACCCCAATGTTTCAAGGGCAAACCAAACTGAAACATAAGAGCCCTTGCAACATTGAGAATGTGCCTATGTTTTCTCTCCACAACACCATTTTGTTGTGGAGTGTGAACACAAGAGGTTTGATGCAAGATTCCATTATTATCAATAAAAGTTTTCATACTAGCATTTAAAAACTCAGTCCCGTTAACAGACCTTATAGACTTAACATTAACTTCAAAATGATTTTTTAACATGTTAGAAAAGATAACAAAGCACTGATAGACTTCACTTTTAGATTTAAGAAGAAACACCCATGTGGCACTAGTGAAATCATCAACAATAGTAAAAAAG